AAAAAATTAGCTGGGCATGGTGGTGCGTGCCTGTAATCCCAGCTACTCAGGAGGCTGAGGCAGGAGAATTGCCTGAACCCAGGTGGCGGAGGTTGCAGTGAGCCTAGATCGCACCATTGCACTCCAGCCTGGGTAACAAGAGTGAAATTCCGTCTCAAAAAAATAAAATAAAATAAAATAAAATAAAAATAAAACAAAGCCCATTCTACCAATTTTACAATTAAATTCAAAGCAATATTCAGAAATAATTATAATTTGGTTTACCTTTCTGTATGCATCACATACAAGGATCATCTCATGTAAAAGTCTCCCATCTGGAGTTGTTTTAGGAACAATTTCCCAAAATACCAGAAGTAATTTCTTGATAGTGTGATCCTGAAGAGGTAGCACAAAACGAATGATGGTCATCAGAAGTCCAGGAAGTTTTTCACCATTCAGAATCATAATGATTACTTTCTTCAAAGCTTCAGTCTTTGACTTTACGTCTCCTTTTTCTGAATAAAAAATTTAAAAAAAAAAAGCACAATTATTTCAAAAGAAAACTCATCACATAAATTTAAAACCAATTAACAAAATAAAACATACCTTCTTACTTTGCTATCAGCAATGGTAATAAAAGTACAAACCCAAGTGACAAGAGTTCTCTACCTGGCTCTGTCACAAACAAGCTGTCTTTGCTCAAGTCATTTATCTCTGGATCTCAGACTCTTTATACATAATATGAAGGCAACAGTTTAGATTTCTGGTTCCTAACCAAGTTAATGTAGAAACTAGTCCCTTATCTCTCAACTTACACTAAAATAAAATCTAAATGGATTAAAGCCTTAAATCTAAGACCTCAAGCTATGAAACTACTACAATAAAACATTGGGGAAAATCTCCAGAACATTGGTCTGGCCAAAAATTTCTTGAGTAATACCCCACAAGCAAAGGCAACCAAAGCAAAAATGGACAAATGGGATTAAATCAAGTTAAAAAGCTTCTGCACGGCAGAGGAAGCAATCAACGTAATGAGACAACCCACAGAATAAGAGAAAATATGTGCAAACTACCCATCTGACAAGGGATTAATAACCAGAATACATAAGGAGCTTAAACGATTCTTCTTCTTCTTCTTTTTTTTTTTTTTAAGACATGGGGTCTTGCTACGTTGCCCAGGCTGGAGTGCAGTGGCTATTCATAGGCATGATCCCACTACTGATCAGCACGGGAGTTTTGACCTGCTCCATTTCCTACCTGGGCCGGTTCACCTCTCCTTAGGCAACCTGGGTGGCCCCCGCTCCCAGGAGGTCACCATATTGATGCCGAACTTAGTGCGGACACCCGATCGGCATAGCACACTACAGCCCAGAACTCCTGGACTCAAGCAATCCTCCAGCCTCTGCCTCCTGAGTAGCTGGAACTACAGGCACACGCCACTGCACCTGGCAGAGCTCAAACAATTCTACAGGAAGGAAAGAAATCTCATAATCTAATTTTAAAATGGGCAAAAGATTTGAACAGACATTTCTCAAAAAAAGATATACAAATGGCAAACAGGCATATGAAAAGGTGCTCAACATCACTGATCATCAGAGAAATGCACATCAGAACTACAATGAGATATCATCTCAGCCCAGTTAAAATGGCTTTTATCTAAAAGACAAGCAATAACAAATGCTAGAGAGGATGTAGAGAAGAGGGAACCCACATACATTTTTTTTGTTTGAGAATGTAAATGAGTGCAGCCACTATGGAGAACAGCTGGGGGGGTCCTCAGAAAACTAAAAATAGAGTACCATGATTCAGCAATCCAACTGCTGGGTATATATCCAAAAGAAAGGAAATGAGTACATCAAAGAGATATCTGCAGTCCTGTTTGAGCAGCATTGTTTGCAACAGTCAAAACTTGAAAGCAACCTAAGTGTCCATCAACAGATAAATGGATAAAGAAAATGTGGTACATATACACAATAGTGTACTACTCAGCCATAAAAAAGAATGAGATCCTGTAATTTGGAAGAACAAAGATGGAACTGGAGGTCATTATGTTACATGAAATAAGTCAGGCACAGAAAAACAAACTTCTCATGTTCTCACTTATTTGTGGAAGCTAAAAATCAAAACAAACTCATGGAGATAGAGTAAAAAAAATGAATATCAGAGGTGGGAAGGGTAGTCGGAGGGAAGTAGGGATGGTTAATGAGTATAAAAAAAAGTTAGAAAAAATAAGTTAGACCCAATATTTGATAGCACAACAGGGTAACTACAGTCAATAATTTGATTGTACATTTAAAATTAACTAAAAATATGTATAATTGGATTGTCACACAAAGGATAAATGCTTGAGGGGATAGATAATCCATTTTTCCATGATGTTATGCACTGCATGCCTATGCAAAATCAAAGCATTTCATGTATCCCATAGATATATATACCTACTGTGTACCCACACAAATTAAACATTAAAAAAATAAAATTCAGGCCGGGCGCGGTGGCTCACACCTGTAATCCCAGCACTTTGGGAGGCCGAGGCGGGTGGATCACGAGGTCAAGAGATCGAGACCATCCTGGTCAGCATGGTGAAACCCCGTCTCTACTAAAAATACAAAAATTCAGCTGGGCATGGTGGCATGTGCCTGTAATCCCAGCTACTCAGGAGGCTGAGGCAGGAGAATCGCCTGAACCCAGGAGGCGGAGGTTGCGGTGAGCCGAGATCGCGCCATTGCACTCCAGCCTGGGTAAAAAGAGCGAAACTCCGTCTCAAAAAAAAAAAAAAATAAAATAAAATAAAATTCAGAAATATAGTTATTTTCTTATTTACAAAAATGCTTATAAAAATGAAAAGTTAAACCTTACTAGAAAACACATGTTTATTCCAGTGTTAAGTGTTTGGGTGGGTAACCCAAAGAACAAAGTTCTTTTTGGTTTTACAAGCTAAGTAACATGAAGTTAAGTGCACAATGGAAATAACATATTCCAATACACATCCTCAACCTGATGCCTAGAAAAAATAATCAGCTACATTAAATATATCGAACTGCACAAAAATTAGGACATTCTGAGGAATATCTAAACTACTACAATTTCTTTATAACCCAAAGAACAGTTATTTTGGTTTACAAGCTAAGTAACATGAAGTTAAGTGCAGGATGGAATTAATATATTCCAATATACATCCTCAACCTGATGCCTAGAAAAAACCATTAGCTACATTAAGTATAATATATTGAGCTGCACAAAAATTAAGACATTTTGAGGACTATCTAAACTATTACATAAACTGAGATGTTCTATTTCAAACAACCAATATTTAGTCTAAAGAAGTTCACATTTTTAATAAAACGTCTATTGAAGAGATCCTAGAAAAACTTATTTAGACAAAAATTAAGCATTTCTAATTATAAAAGAATATGAAATATGAGGTTTTTATTTTTTTATTTCATTTTCAAAATAATATCAAAGTTTACCTAGATCGTTTTTTAAGCTAATTTCAGATGGTGGTTCTGAATCCATTGGCACGTTAATTAACGTGTAGCACACGTTCTCAGCAGCCGTCATGATTTCTGGTTATATTATAATCAATCCTCGATATAAGATTTAAGGATGTCAGAAAATCTAGAAAAATAAACACAGAGATATCATGACAATTTTTTTTTAACCCACAAACCAGTAACTATAGTGATCTTTAAAGTATTAGAAAGGGCAGGTCAATCTATATCGTGTTCCCATAAAAGTAAATTTTAGTAAAAACCACACTGTCAGCTCCAGCATAAGGTATATTATCACTCCCTCATCGAATCCGGGTCCGGTGTTTGAGAATGTTGTACAGCAGAACGAAGGCCCACAGAGCAGTGACAGTCCCCCAGCCCCACCCCACAATGTTATGGAACATAAGATTTTTTACACAACACACAATCTGCATGCTCAAGTTAAGAGACCTTGTGCCTGAATACTCTGCCAAAACCCTAAAGCGCTTTATCGCGGTCCCTGGTGGGTTCCGACTTTTGCCTGCGTGTCCCTTAATCTGCGCGTGAAACCCCTACCTCTGCCCACCCGCTTCCTCCTCCCCTTCCTACAGCAAAGCAGGCCTCGGCCAGAAAGGGTAAGCCTCAGGGTCTTGGGAAGGAAAAGACCCCTGGCCAATACAGAGGGCGGGATGGAGCGTCGGACTCGGAATTTCCTAGTCCCCCGCCCCCACCCGGTCCCCTCTGCCAGGCCCAGACGCAAGCGGCCTAGTTGCTCCCCTTCCTCATCTTCCATCTGGAGAGCCAGTTCTTCCGACTCTGCCCGACCCACCAAGCGTTCGGGATTGGAGCCTTGTGGCCCATTACCAGGCTCCGGGGGCAGCGGTTGGGGCAGCCGCGGAGCCCTCTACTCCAACTCCAACTCGCAGCAGCGGCGGCGGCTCCAGAGTCCTCGGCTGACGTGGAAGGGGGTGGGGTAACGACAGAAGCCACAGCCACCTAGCACCTACGGCGACTCAGAGAGGACATGCTTTCTATGTGCAGCACTTGCGCGCTTCAAGTATACCCTATTTTCTTCCTGTTCTCTCGTCTAGGGGTGGATTAGGCCGCAGAGCAATGAAACCACTTATTTTATAGTTTCTCCTGCAAGCCAAGCGCTGAGTTAAGCACTGTCTCATTTAAAAGCTAACTGGAAATCGTTCCTTCCTACAGTAACAATCAAGGGGAGGAAGTGCTTGGAGAGAGGGAAACTTTTACAGGGCTGTGTTCCCGCCGTGAAAAAGAGCTCAGGACTGGAAAGTGGAAACGCAGGAATCCTTTTTCTTGCTCACCTGCTAATAAACTGGGAAAGTAACTAATATTATTGGGAAAGTAATTTCAGTTATTTTATTAATGATCACTAGATTAAAATCCATTTCCGTTCTTAAATCCCTAGTAGTTTAAATCTGCCTCTATGCAGGAAGGGCTGGAGTTATTTGAACATCGAAAGTCACATTGGTATGATTTCTGCTCCTTATTTAATAATGACTTCTTTCGTGATCCTTTCTGAGCACCAAGTAGATCAGAAAAAAATTTTTATGCATAAAGGGAGACAGTCACTGTTTTAAAGGATTTTACGTATCTACAAAGACCTAATTATTACAGCTGCAATCAGCCATAGTACTTTCGGTTTTGCCCATTTGAAGTTCCATAGCACGCCCCCCCCCTACACCCCCGCTCCCCTCACAAAGGTTTTATGACCAATTATTAATAAAAAAATATTTTAAAGCTTAAGAAAAATATTGTGAATAAAAACAGGTCTGACAGAAACTGCCCTAATTAACAGGTTCATCTCAGGGAGTTAGAACACAAAAAGTACCTCATTTATGCAGGATCTAGCTCTTTTGAGATTTCTCTTTTTAGAAACATCAACCAAACTATAAATTCTTTGAGCACACAAAATGTATCACAAAGGCCATGTATTGACAGCACTTTGATTGCCCCCCTGTGATTCTATGCATTCATTTTTAAAAACATTTAATCTTAATTGTAGAGTGACAAGAATACAGAGATCCCATATACTATTTACCCAGTTTCTCCCGATGGTACATCTTGCATAGTTATAGTACAATATCAGTTTCAGGTAATTGACAGATGTATTTCACCCAACTTTATTCAGACTTCAATAGTTTTACATGCACTTGTTTTTATATTTACTTGTAGACTTTTTTTTATCATGGTTATATTTGTGTGATCACCAACCCAGGTGAGACACCGAACAATTCCATCACAAGGATTCTCATGCTGTCATTTGTTAGCCATAGCCACCTCCCTTCCCAACCGGTGGCAACCACTAATAATTCTCTATGATTTTTATCATTTCAATGTTATATAAATGGAATTATACAATATATCTTTTGAGACTGGATTGTTTTTACTCAGCATGATTCCCTTGAGATCAGTCCAAGATGCATGTACAACAGAAGTCTCGCTCTGTCACCCACGTTGGAGTGCAGTGGCGCAATCTCGGCTCACTGCAACCTCCACCTCCTGGGTTCAAGCAATTCTCCTGCCTTAGGCTCCCAAGTAGCTGGGACTACAGGCATGTGCCATGACACCCAGCTAATTTTGTGTATTTTTTTTTTTTTTTTTTTTTGAGACGGAGTTTCGCTCTCGTTACCCAGGCTGGAGTGCAATGGCGCGATCTTGGCTGACCGCAACCTCCGCCTCCTGGGTTCAGGCAATTCTCCTGCCTCAGCCTCCTGAGTAGCTGGGATTACAGGCACGTGCCACCATGCCCAGCTGATTTTTTGTATTTTTAGTAGAGACGGGGTTTCACCAGGTTGACCAGGATGGTCTCGATCTCTTGACCTCGTGATCCACCCGCCTCGGCCTCCCAAAGTGCTGGGATTACAGGCGTGAGCCACCGCGCCCGGCAATTTTGTGTATTTTTTTTAGTAGAGACGGGATTTCACCATGTTAGCAAGGATGGTCTCGATCTCCTGACCTCATGATCTGCCCACCTTGGCCTCCCAAAGTGCTAGATTACAGGCGTGAGCCACCACGCCCAGCCTGTGTATTCGTTTTTAACATGGAAGTTTTACAAATGCAGTTATCTGGTTTCCAAGCCAACTTGACTTACCAAGAAGTGACAATCTGTCAGCAAGAAATGAGGCCAAAAAAGGAATAAAAACTAGTATACAGTAAGAAAGCTCAGTTTAGGGCCATCATGGTATAGGACTTAAACCATACAGACTTCATTTGCCTCAGAGGTTCACTGTGTTACAGAATAACTTTGAGGTTTCTCATAACTCAAGTCATTAAGGAAAGTACTGAATATGAAAAGGCAAGACAGTGTAATGTTTTACATATTATTTAGATCTGACCCTAAAATTGTCATTGGCAGTATATATATTTTTCCATATTCTTAAGTACAAAGCTACTTAAATGGATATCAGGACCTTAATATTGGCCTCACTAACTCTTCCTGACCTGTTGTAAAACACATTTTGTTTTGGGCTTTTTTACTGTAAGATGTAACTGTATCATTTTGAACGCCTTTTAAATTATAAATGCAAAGACCCTGTCATTAGATCAAGGACCTAAAATTGTTGGGATTTATTAGATCAAGGACCTCAAAGTGTTGGGATTTATAGGTGTGAGCCAACACACCCAGCCACTGCCTTTTATTCCATGCCAGTTCTTCACAGCTGCACATATACATGCTCAATAAATTCCAGGTGAATTGAGTATCTTTGTAACAAAGTGACAGGCTTTATAAAACATCATTAGGAATTTTACTGTTTGTAATTATTCAAAAGAGTAAATGGAATATGTGAGTACAACAAACTCAAACATGAAAGGGCATCACAATGAACTCTATATACAGTGGAGTTGAGTATTACTGGAGTGGAGACGATTTTAAGTTCTAAAGTCAGTATATGACTAAAAGTCACATGGAAAAAATTACTTAAATTGCTCCCGAAGTACAATAATTTTTTTTTCAGCTGAATACAAGCCAACTAATGGTTTGCATTTGTGGAACAGATGCATGTTCCACAATGATAAACATACAGTATCTTTATTTTTTTGAGATGGAGTCTCACTCTGTCGCCTGGCTAGGCTGGAGTAGTGGCACCATCTTGGCTCACTGCAACCTTCACCAACCACATTCAAGCAATTATCCTGCCTCAGTCTCCCAAGTAGCTGAGACTGCAGGTGCGCACTACTATGCCCAGGTAATTTTTGTATTTTTTAGTGGAGACGGAGTTTCACCATGTTGGCCTGGCTGATCTCAAACTGCTGACCTGAGGTGATCCGCCTGCCTTGGCCTCCCAAAGTGCTAGGATTACAGGCATGAGCCACTGCACCCGGCCACAATGTCTTTAAACAACGGAATCATTCAGTGAAGACAGAGGCTTACCCAATGGAAGACACAATGGAAGAGAGACCTGCCTAAGTAAAGGGCAGATTATTAAATTTCCCACTATGCTCCCTCCCCAGACTACATACCCATTGAGTGTGGAGGCAGGTGGGAGTTCCTGAGTTCACTGTTTTATTGTGTGTGTGTGTGTGTAAAGTTACATGTGCTTGATGAAATCCGTTGTAGGTCAAAGAGCCACATGGTACTTGCGTCTAACTCCCAAGCTGACATGGTAGATTCTTGAGGCCACTGCTGGAGAAACGGACATCTCACACATTCTAGTACTTAAGACATCTTTCCCTTAATAAGACTACGGTACTTAAGAATCTTTTCCTTAATAAGACTCCAGGGCTACTTTTACCACTCTCTAAGAAATCGGAGTGATTTAAACCTACTAAGGCTTTTTAAGATTTGAGAAAAGTGGGGGGGGGCGGGGAATAACATTTTATGAATTTTAGCGCTTAAAAGGTGTTATCAGCCGGGCGCGGTGGCTCAAGCCTGTAATCCCAGCACTTTGGGAGGCCCAGGCGGGTGGATCACGAGATCAAGAGATCGAGACCATCCTGGTCAACATGGTGAAACCCCGTCTCTACTAAAAATACAAAACATTAGCTGGGCATGGTGGCGCGTGCCTGTAATCCCAGCTACTCAGGAA